AGCCGCTGCCAGCGCCCGCTACAGATAAAGTGCTTCCTCTTGTGGAAGCCAAAGTTTGGGGGTGAAGGGGGGTAGTTTCCAGAAAATAAGGCTTTGGGACCGTTTCTGCAGCTTCCCAGAGGCGGTGGGGTTGGGAAAAAAAAAAAACCGAGGAGACCCTAAACAACCCCCATCTTTCCCCTGGTGTCCGGGGAGCAGCGCAGCCACCTTGCAGGAGGGGTGAGAGCAAATGGGTTTCCTCCTGGCTCTTGGCTTTTTTTTTTTTTTTTGGTTTTTTTTGTTTGTTTTTTCGCTCCATGCATTTCTATTTGAATTTCTTAGAAACGCTGGGCCTGGTTCACTGCCTGGTTTATGGCTCCGTCTGTGGAGCAGGAGTCAGCCTGAACAGATTTAAAATCTTCTAGGGAACAAGAGAAAACCCTAAAGAGATTAGTCCTAAACTAGAAAAAGCTGTAGCAGTATACGTAGGAAATGACTGTCAGCGTATCTGAGCCCATATACTGCTGGGCTATCAGTTGCGCTGGCCTGACTGTCCAGAAATGACAGGCTGGGAAATATGTCCCCGTGTTTCGGCAAGTTCCCAGGACTTAACATTTTAATGTTACTCTGAGTCAGAATATGCCTTCTCTGTGTTTTGGGGTTTTTTTTGTCGTCATTTTTTTTTTAGCTGACGATTAGATGGACAGGTTTTAAACAGAACAACCTGTTTCTGGCAGAAAGGACATCATAACAACCCAGGGAACTCTTAAAAGTTGGAGACTGTCGTCCTGCCGTGTACTGTTGAACAGCTGCTGTATTTCACTCCAGAAGTGGCTGTTTTTCAGTGGCTGAGGCACTGAGGTCCCTCTATAGGTGCTTATATTTCTAATGTGTTTTCAGGGCTCCTAGAGATGAAAGTGCTTTATGTAAACAGCATCGTTAGTTTTCATAGCTTGTGTAGCCCTGCCTTTTTTTGGTTTTGTTTTTTAATCTTCTGGTTTTGGCTGTGTCTTCTGGCAAACTAGGGATGAAAGCCTTTTGGTTGTTAGTCTGGCCTTTAGGATAAAATATAGCCTGGGCCTGATCCTGCATTCCAGGCATTCCCCAAAATCTTCTTGGCTGCTCTGCAAGTTTTGAGAGTGCACAGAAAGCAGATCTGGACCGTAATGTGCCTGGATCTATTTGCCTCTGACAGTCCCCTCTCTTCTTAAAATTATTCTGGTTACACCAAGTGACATTACTCCGTGTCGAAAGAGATGGGGAAATAAGTGTGCTGGCTGTTTTCTGCTGAGGGACATTGCTCACAGCAGTTGCTAGGAGTTTGTTTGGTTCCCCCCCCC